TAATTATGGTATTCAAGATACTGTTCGTTTTTATAATGAAATGAGCTTGCTTGACGATAAAACCACGAGATGGAACTACATACAACAAAATTCAAGCGTTCTCTCTTTAAATGGCTATACTGCTACATTACTACCAGATGGCCGTATCGCTTATATTGGCGGAAGTTATATCCAAAACTTAGTTAATATGAGTAAGGTGAGATTTAAATAATAATATCTTTTTTCGAACCTTTTATTTAAAGCTTTACTTTCATCTGATTTTAAATATAGATTCGAATATTTGATACAAAAAGTTACACTTGGTTTGATAAAGTACGTATATACATACTGTTTAGTTAACATTATTGTAATTAATAACTAATTTTAATTTCCGCTTAGGATGTTGGTGACGTTTACATCGAAGGCCGCTTTGGACATTCGGCTATTTCTAGTATGCAATATAATTGTTTTTAAATCTAAATATATACCTATTTTAATTGAAACCTTTTTATATACGTAAGTTTCAAACGGAAATTTTATTATTATATATGGAGGATTGAAAAATGACGCAAGCAACATTGCAGCATCTCCTAATCTTGCAATATTAAATACATATTTATGGGAATGGTTTATTCCAAAAACTTCTCAAACAAATGCACCACCACCACTTGCTTATCATTCTGCCGCATTATATAAGCATACTTTCATGATTATTGCATTTGGTAATCACCGCTTCTTTAATTTATCATTTTATTAAATATTTATTGAAGTTATTTATTCTTCGAATATCCAGGCCAAATTACAAACCAATCCCCTACAAACTTAACTAATGGTATTTATATTCTTGATACACAAAGTTATAATTGGTTAACAGCAATTCCACGACCACCAGTTGTCACAAAAATTAGTAATGGTAATTCATATATTGGAAAATTTGAAACAGTTGGAATTGTTATTAGTATTGGCGTGGGAATTTTGACTGCTGAATTTTTGATTTATAAAGGATTTCATGAATCATAACTTTACAGAAATGAATGTATAACTTGGATAGAAATAATCTTAGAAAGTTTTTAATGAAAGTAATGTGAAATAATGTTTAAATAATTAAATTGAATTTACTGGATAAATTAGGCCATTTGCAATTAATTCTTCGGTTAACATCACTTTCTAAGACTCTTTGAGGGGAAGAGGGAATTGAAACAAACATATAAAATGAACAACTCATTTTTAGAGTAGCAATCTATTATTACGAATTAACTTTCAATTAAAGTTTGTCTAGAGATTCTAGCTGAGTTGCTCAAGATTAATTATCTAGTTAACATTAATATTTTTTACTTGAGCGAGAGCGAGAAGAAATACACATTTGGTTTCGCAAAGCATGTGGGCCAATTTATTGGCGATATAAATCATGTAATTGGTGTGAATTATTGCCATTTGTCCCGACAAATAAATTTGACTAATTTCAAAATGCTAATCCTTGCTCATAAAAAACAAAAAACTCTTCATAGAACATTAAAACCATGCAAGCTAAATATCTTGATGGCTTTAAAATTTTTCAAATTTATTTTTAATAAAATAGCAGAAAATTAAAGTCAAGGCAATTTTATAATTAAACAAGCAATTTGGTCGGTTAAGATATTCTATTAAACAATCAAATTTGGCCACCTTATACACAAAATTTGGCCACTTTATATATATTAAATTGACTATGTTACAGTAAATTAATGATTTGGTCATTTTATGTTAAAATTTCCAATTTTGCCGTATCATATATATAAATTTTAATTTTAAATGTGGCCACTAAAAGTTTTCATTTGTTGGGACTAGGTTATCCGCACTGTATCTCTCTGTTCAAATGTGTATGTTTTCGCGCAAATTTTGTTTGAACACCTGCGGGCCTGGCTTCGTTGTAACCAATTCTTATACTTAATGCATTTTCCATTTCCGATTTTTATTCCATGCATATGCAAATGATACGTGTTAACCTTATTCTTCATTTGCCATCCTCTTTTGCACTGTCTTCTGCTTCTCATATAAGCAAATCATGTGATTATAATAAGTAAAATAGATTTGTAAAAATAAAAATAACTATATCGCATGATCCCAACTTCAGTCACGACAATTCTACCACCGTTAGAATCATAAATGCTTCCTTTACAATTTTACTTAAATATAAAAGAAGTTTACTTAGTAAAAATTTCTTTATTATTGAATCTAAAAATTTTTGACAACTAATTCATTAATAAAAATAATCTATTTATCCTCGACCCTTAAATTTTATAAATATAACTATTTTAAACTTAACCTGTTTACTAAACCTGCTTAACAATATAATTATTAAAAAAATAAAAATATAAAGCTACTATGGATATAATATCTGAAAATTTCCAATGATATGAACCTAGTTATAATTTAAAACTAGTGATTTAAACAATACTACTTACAGTCTATTTATTAACATGTTTTTTAAATATACGGTATATTAAATATGGGATATGCATAGAACATATACGATTACGAGTCATATTCCGTAGTTAGTGTTCAGTTTTTTTATACTACCCATACTTTTCGCGAGTATGCATTAAATACTTATTGTAATTAAAGTGATTTCAATATGATCCTTTATTATTCAATTACTGAATATGTAAAGATTAATATGATGAAACATTAAGAATTTCCGCACAACTTGTTAAATCGCAGCCAATCTGATTACCAAGGATCTTTCTAAATGCTGACCACTCACAATATTCACTCTCACGACCCGGAATTAAAATTGACTCAAAGTTAAGTACCATTCGTATTTTTGTACTATTCCCTTGTCTGAACAAGTATAAATTTAAAATAAAGTGATGAATTAAAAAAGTTTTAGCCACTGAATATTTAATTTCATAAATTTGTGAAAGGTTTAAATTTGCTGTGAGTGGAAAGGGTTATGTATACTCTATAATAAAAGATATTAATATATAATCTCATATATATTAAGAAATAGAATAAGTAATTAATTTTTTAAGGTATTAAGTAAAGTAGTACTATACGGCAGTACAGATTCGGACGGATATACAAAAATTATACCAAATTTTGATGGTACGTACGTACGGTTAACATAGACTTGCAAGTTTCAATTTTTACAAGTAACCTTTTTAATGGTTAGGGTTAGAGTGAGCGCTAGTATTGTCTATTTTCATGTTAGGGTAGTAGGAAAAGTACCTTGGGTTTGACGAATTTTTTCTTTTATAAACCGTACGTACTATTATGATTTCTACATGTCCGCGTTTCCGTACCGTACTATTTTACTATATATCAAAATTTTACATACCAATGTGGTAAATATCATTAGCATACCATACGCATGACCATTTTTCAGATCAGCTACCATTATAGAACTGCCATCCAAGTAATCTTCAACACCTTGTACAAGTTGAGTCAAATAGACACAGCCAATTTGTTTACTAAGAGGATTACCATCACCATAAAAATAATAATCAGACATATCCCAATAATAGCGTAATTTTTTAATATCAAATTTATTTAGTAATGAACATCAAGTATCAGTCCGATTAAAATAAAGTTACAGTAATGAAATATGTATGGCAATAGACACGATTAAGAGGTGGGTAGATACCGTAATCTTTGGTCATACGTTCAGTGATTGGCGCTAAGGTCGTATTACCATAAGTATAATTTTGTTCATTATATATAGGAATATTTTTTGAGAATAGTCTCGTTTAAAAGTCGACAGTTTCGAAAACCTTCTAAAATATTATCTTGGGGCTATGTAAAAATATTACAAATTATTAAAAAATAATGTAATAAACAGGTCACATTGCAATAAATAATATCTGCTACTGGTATAGACCAAATGTATACTGGTTGATTTTTAAAGGCATCTAACGGACCATCTCCATTAAATATTCCTTCATAAAAAGCTATTGCCGACATACTAAACCTTTAAATAATTGAAATTTAGAATAAACTTTATATACTTATATTTATAGTCATATAAACATTTACTGTAGTTGTACCTTGCAGAAGCACCGGTCTGAAATTTTACGACTTCAAGATTGTATCTATCTTTTTTATTGTTTTCATATCTTAAAGCAGATTGTATTCCATCAAAATATGGTTCAATTCCTCCTCGTTTACTTAATTGAAAAATTCTTTCCGTAGGGAAAGGATTTTTATACTAATGTAATAGTTTTTTTTAAAAAAATAACATCATTAAATTTTAAAATGATGATACAGTATTAATTTCTTACCTATTCTTTTGCAACGGAAACGTTTTTTCTAATTGATCATATTTTAGCATTTCAGGTGGATCAAGATATCTCGATCCTATTTAATCATTTCAAAGATCGTTTTATTATTTTGTCAAAAAATTTGTGAACGCATATGCACGAAGGAAGTAACAATTACCTTGTCTAGTAAGACAATGCAATTGTCTTAATCCACATTTATCAGGATAACTTATTGGGTTAACATTAAGAGTAAAGGCTGTCTCTTCTGGTCCAATTCAAAAAACTTTTATTTATTAGATATTGTGAATAATTTTGAATTTACATTGCTATATTACAGAATAAAAATAACAAAATAAAGAAAGAACATAGAATGTTATAAGACTACAACTTTTTTTATGAACTACGAAGTTTAAGTAAGACCAAAATAATATCTGTTTAAATTAGTTTTTGGATTACCGAATCTATTACCCGTAAAGCATTACTATGCAGAAAATTTATAATGTTACGATATAGTATAATGATGATTTATTTATCACGAATTAAATTTCCCTGAAAAATTACATTGTAAAACTTTGATTTTACGACTTTAATATAGGACTAATTTCCGGTGCAAAATGGAGGAACTTAAGGCCAGACATTAGGTGAGAAAAAAATTCTGGGTGGGTTCCGGGTGTAGGATAAGAGCATAAGCAA